CTCTCTCTCTCTCTCTCTCTCTCTCTCTCTCTCTCTCTCTCTCTCTCCCTCTCTCTTCGCTAGTTACGATACGAGCGATGGACTTGCCGTTCCTATCGGGAGGACTTGGGTAAAAAAAAAACGAACAGATAAAAAATTTCCGCTAAATACAATTGCGTCGCCGAGGAAACGAACACGACCAAGTATTGACACGGCGTGGCGCCTTATCACCAAGTGACATGTAACGATGCGGAATTTTATCGTGTTTCGAACATACTTAATAAAACCACTTTTTTGTCCGTGCCGCACGTTTGGAAATGTTGAGCTGGTCATGCACGATTATTGCCACATCATGTCACTCGAGAATTCGGCAAAAGCGACGTCGATGATCGGGAGAGACAGAGATTGGGTAATATCGTTAAAAATATGCAAACATTGTGTTCAGCGACATCAAAGTTTATTTATAAAGCATATGCCGATAAAAAGATACTCGACGCGCCATATAGAGCTTAAAGAATGCGCCGTTTATTGGCCGTAACAAATGGATGAGTAAAAAGAATGGAGCGAAACAGCCGCACGATTTTGATCGTGGTTTATCTTGAACGTAAATTGTTCCAATGATTCTTAATATCTCCACTAATTTCGCGACCATCGTAATGTTTCCCACGAAGCTACGGATTTTCGCTGAATTCTACGGGAATTTGCTGTACGAACCTTGAGCACAGGATTGAAATGCCCGATTCGCGTAACCACGAGCTACCTTAATCGCTACCAGCATGTACAACGGCCAGCTTAATGGCATCGAGCTCTGTATAAAGTAATTATCGATACGAGTTTACGTGAATGAGATTGCACGCGAAACAGCGGCGTCCTTGGGACGCAGAACCCTGACAAAAATTGACGGTATTTCGCGCAATTTTGCATGCATTATCGCGCGCTAATTATTATAAACGGCAAACTGTAATTGCTACATTTGCGTTCAACGATAACAGAGGAACGATCGATACAAATTACAGTTTTAATTTATCGGTGGATCGATCAAAATGGAATCGTCAATTCTCGCTTTACTTGGCTTCAATTAATGCCCTAACTAGGTATAATTGGCGCGTGTGTGTCCTAATCGATCGAAATATTTCCACGCCAGGATTAATTATTATGTAAAACTAACTAAGGCTAGTTTAAGATTAGCTAATTGCCTCTAATTGAAAAAATGTACGGGCGAAAGAAGAGCAGCATAACTTTCTAACGAATGCAACAGAATTTCAGGACATCCTGACCGATACGATTAGTCCGGTATCTAAGTGGCAAACCTAGCATGTCGTACACCTACGCATTGAAATTCTATCTCGTTAATTGACGCGGAAACGGAGAACGAATTCGTCGTTAACGACATTGGGTCAAAATTGAATACGAAGTTCAGACATCGTAACAAATCGCGAAACTTTGCACGAATAATGGATGTAGTTAAGTTCTTGCACTTGTACGTATGTTAAATAATCGCTAAAAACGATTGATAGGTACAAATTATATTTGAGAATAGTGACAATGATTTATAGCAGGCAGTTACTTCGGTCGAACTCGTATCAGAAGCATTGATAATTTACGCTTCGGTATTTTCAATTCATCCGAAAGTCACATTTAATTCGAACAATTTCGTGGTCGACGGTAAATTATAAATGTACGATACAACGAACGGATATAATCACGCGCAAGGCCATCGATTATCCATCTTCCTAGTTTGCGTGGAACACGACCAGTTGTTGTCGATAAATCAATACCCTCTAATTGCCACGAATGCAATGATTGCGTTAGTGATTCTTCAGTTTCGAATGTCTTAACCAATTTACAGAACGAAAGAAAAGAATACCTAGAATCGTAATCAATGCACGAAAGACGAGGAAAAAGAGAGAGAAGCAACGCAAAACGGAAGTATAAAAAGATAAGGAAAATAAGACAACAGGTTGAAAGAAGAAGGGAAAAAGTAGCATAACGACTGGAAGAGAGAAATAAAGTAAAAACAGATGGAGACGAGCGAGGGAGTGTGATGTGGCTATATGTGTGTGCAGTCGTGCAATTCGTCCTTGGATTTATATAATAGGGAAGGAAGAGAAAAATCTCAGAAAAGAATAAAAGATGAAAGTTGTAAATTTTCTAAAATCATCAAATTTATGGAAGCTACAACAGTGAATGAGCCCTATAACGAATAGACCGTGGCGTGACGTCAGAAGAATGTTTTCGTAGATCTATTTTTCTAAAGGTTATCGAGAAATAACTAAAATGATCGGTTAGCTAAATTGAAGTAACGTTCCTGTGTTCGAAGTTTCGATACGAGTCCCTGCGCAGAACGAAAGGGTTGAACAGCGACGCACAAGGAGAGGGGTTAATTCGCACTAGCTTGAGGTAGGACGTGTACGAACGGTCGACAGGTGTCGCCACGTTGCAACACATGCTTGACTCGGTCAAGCGATAATAATTCTCACGTGTCCTCTGTCAAGCGGTACCGTGGCTTCAATTCACTGTATGCGAGACACTATATGTAGGTTAAAGACACGCCGTTATACTATTGCGTAATAGAGAATGTAGTTGCCTAACTAACCGGCTTTCTTGACTGTTTTCACGAACAAACGTCAAAGAAAAACGAAACGCAAGTTACGTCGACTTTTGACCGATCGGTCTATCCGTTGCAATGCTAAACAGAATACGTAAGCTGTAAGGAGAGCATCGATTCCTTGTTACAATCTATCTCTCCTAAATGTATATATAATATGTATGTATACATATATAAAAGAGACACGCGTAGGGATCGAGCCAAGAGAAGAGGGTACAGTCAAAATCAAAAGTGAGATGCGTGACATAGATTTGGCCGAGAGCAATTTTCAGAGGAAGACTCTCCCAAAGAAGAATGGCATATTTGTAGGGATTTGGAGATGAACGGAGGATGGATCGAAAAGGGAATTGTTTGCCAATATCACGGTCAAATACCGCGAATGCGGTCACTGAACTAGTTCCGTTTCGACCCTGACACTGCCATTGCCCCCAGGTCGCGATTTGTGTCAGAGGCTCAATATTGCCGCGGTTTTATTTGCATGCACAATTACTTACCCCTCTCGCTGGACTCCATCTCGCAAAGGCTTCTGATACCGTGCTGGACGTACGGCACACGAAACGAGTATCGAGCAAGTACACGTGGAATATTACTTGTGGATTTCGGCCCGCCAGCTCAAAATTCACCACGATATAAACATGGCCGGTCACTCTCTTGTCACAATTACCGTGGGGTCGTTGAACTTTTCCAAAATCGAGAGACTGCGCCGTGGAACACTACAACTATATATCTTTTTTCAGTGTACGCGAAAAATGGTAAACTACTGTAACTTGGTGCGTGCCACCTAAAAATAGATCGTGAATTCGGCGATTGTTTTGACTAACAATATGGTTTGCAACCTACTCGGAGGTGGCGCTACGCATTGGATCTCTCTGATGGCGTCTCCAACATCACCGCTAGAGGACTACGAACACAAATCGATTCTCGTAAGTTCTTCGATGAAATAAAATTTCTTGGACGAATCTAGATCCATACTGCCGATACGTAGTTGACGATCAAAATGAAATGTTCCTATACAGCAAAATTTAGTAATAAATAGTTAGGACATTTATTTGTCTGATTATACATAATATACCTGCACTGTGCTTACATTAGGCGCTACAAACTTCTGTGGTTATAGAAACGGTGCTCTTCTACTTGTAAAATGTTTTTTTCAAGGAACATCAATGAAACAGAAATATTTTAGAAATGCCATATGTGTACGTTTAAATGAATCGGTAATGGTCTCACCGTGTTGCATTTCTTTAAAGGTATGCGAACTTTTGTCACGGCATTCATGAAATATACCGATTGCTGTCAGTTTAAAAGACAAAAAACATACTATACTCTTTTTTATACGAAATCTTTCGTTATTTGTTATTGTTATAATCGGTGAAACATTCCCATTGTCATTGTTACGCTTGCAATAAAATTACGATAAAACCGTGTAACCTCCAAACCTCTTGAAAGATTTTTAAATCTATTATGGTAAAATATTCGACCAATCTATTGTAAACAATAGAATCTAAACATACAATAATAACATTTAATTTATATGAAATTTATACTATGTAATAAATGTATAACTTTTTTGATATATTGTAGTATTTCTTGATCAAAAAAATTATTTTCAGAGAAGCAGACATGAATACAACAATAAGTTCAGTCGAAGGTGGCGGTGATAAACGTGTACCAGAGACAACTGTGCAAAGTATAGCACAAAATTTAACTACGATACAAAGCATACAAAATGTGCAGAGTGTTGTACAAAGTAATATACAAAATATCCAATCTACTCAAACTATAGTAGGATCTGTTGGAACACCTACTAATCTTATAGGCAAATCCATATCGATGGATACAAATCCAAAACTACCCCTAATGAAACCTGTAGTTCCATCCGGTACTACGTCAACTTCAGAGACTAATAAAATAACTACAACGGTAATAGAAACTAGTGCAAGAAGTGTAAAATTCTTTGCAATTATTAACCATAGAAAATTATAATGCAAATCATTTTTTTTGTAGCTTTGTTCTGTGGGTTCTACAGTAAGAATAATATCACCAGGTATGTTAAGTACAGTGGAACGTCAGAATCAACCACAAACTCAGCAATTATTACAACAGACACAACAGGTAACAAGTATGCCAGCAACGTATCATGTACCTCGAGGGGCAGCTGCAGTTGCCAATATATCTGCTCCAAGATCAACAGTGGCTACTCCTATTGTTAGAGCAAATACAGGGCAGACTGTTCCTACTACAAGGCCTGGGTATATATAATTTATCTAATATCTATAAAAAATTGTAAAACTAGTGCACAGATCTGATATTGCTTCTTTTAGGATAAGTACAACTATTTCAAACCCTCAATGGCAACCTAAAACAACATCAGTTGTGTATGCACAACCTCAAAGACATCCTGTACCTCCAGTTGGTCGAATTTCTAGACCACCATCCACTGTGTATAGCAGTCAACAACCTCGTTTAATTACGCCATCGAGCCAAGGAAGATCTGTACAAGCAACAATGGTTACTGGAGTTCCTGGCACTCCGTCCAGATTAATAGCGCCTGTTCTTCAGGCAAACAATAGTATTACAAGGTTACCAGTCTCGCAAAGTAGATTACCCACTCCCCAAGTGACAAATGTATCTCAAACTACACAGCCCAGCAGATCTTCAACTCAGGCTATTCAAGTAAATTATTATGTCTCTTTAATTTATCGATCAAAATTTTAAATATTATTACTGTAATAATTAGACCTATTCCGTTTTAAAATTATAGCCCAATCAATCAAACAGACCTCTAAGTACTGGTACAGGTACCGTAAATCGTATAGCCGTATCAACACCTGTAGTTGGAGCCACGAATCGAATAAGTGGTACCGCTTCGGTGACCGTTCAACCAACAGTCGGACGACAACTATCAATTAACACAGTGGCTGGTCCATCAACTGGTACTGTTAGTCGAATTGTTATCCCATCTCAGCAAGTAGGTATAAAAATAGTCTCTATATTTGATTTAAAAAATAATGCGTTAGCGTATCGAATAACAAATAAAATTGTTACCATGATAGGTTCAGCAACAACCGTCACAACCACAAACAGCACCTCGCGTTGTTCAAACGGTTACCTGTTTGTCAAATCTCAGTACAGTGTCCCGAGTAATTACTACAGCCGCGAGTACATCGAGTGTAACAAGAATACCACAACCGGCGCCTACTACAGTTGCTAGAATTACTGGAATGTCTTTACATCCGTTACCTTTAGCACCTGCGAGAGCTACATCGGCATCTGTTAAAACAGTACAAGCTCAAAGCGTCGGACCAACCGTTCAAATCAAACCTTCTCAACAATCTGGATTACGAGTTCCATCGGCTAGTAGTACGAACAATAATTCGAATACTATACCCGCTCAGTCGGTTCAAGGGCAATATTTGCATCCACCACACACCGCTACCTACTATTCTTTCGAACCCACAGGTAATTCGTCATCGTTACTCCTATCAGTACTTTTATAACGAACTTATCTTCATGGTATTACGTAGGAACGTATTCTCAGTACCGGCAAACTCCGGTAAGATTACTCGTGGAACCAGGATACGATGAACCACATACCAAACCGAATGCATCTCCAAGACCAAGTATACTTAGAAAAAGGGATCATGACAATTCACCGATAAAAGGTACAGACCTAACAAATTAAATTTTGAGAGTAACATATGACTACTAACCTCCATATTGTTAGGTGTAGCAAAGAATTTAGTTCCTGTACTTGCATCTTTACCACCTGTCGCAACATCCAGTCCTCCTTGTTCACCGAGAGGAGATCAAGATGGTGGAGGTTGTCAAAGTTCCGGATCTACTACAGTTTCGGCGACATCATCACCAGGTCTCGACGAAGAACCAGAACAATCTAGAATTACTATAAATCCAACGGTGGAGATGTCCCCAAGAAAAAAGCCACGGAAACAACAACTTACCGGCGTAGAATTAACGGAATCAAGATGTACAGAAGAAGAAATGCAATTTATTACGGACGATAGAATGAAGAAAGAGCTTAAGGAAGACTCAAAAGAAAAATCTTTGGATAAAAGACAAAATTTAAACATACCACGTGACATAATTAAATCTCCTACGCAACAGCCAATCGTTGCGATACGAACGCGGCCTACGCCTAGTTTACTAGGTTCGTAAACAAAATATAATTGTAACTGTTCCGTACATGTAACAAAAAATAATTGTCGCCTTTACAGGCCCTTCCTGGAAGAACAGATGGGGCGGTAGACTTCACCATTACAGAAGACCAAGCGAAGTTCGACCTCGCGAAGAAAGACGACCCACAGTTGCAGAAATAGCACAACAGAAACATGTACTACAAAAATTGAATGGTTGGAAAGTGTATCATCTTACTGCGCAAATGGAAGACATTGCTGACCTTGAGAAACAAGTATGTTTACAAATTATTATGAATTATAATAAATATAATTATAATAAATATAATTCTTAGTATATCGAAATAGTAATACTAAAATGATCAATGTGTTGCAGGTACATGAAAAATTAAAAACAACATTGACGATGCTTGAATCGCAACAAAATGTCAGAAATAGACAAGACGATGGACTTGAACGTGTAAATGAATTGATCAAAGGAAACATGCAACGTAGTAGTTTAATTAGTGAAGGAATGAATGAAGCGCGCACGCAGCTTATCGCTATATTTCAACATAAAGCACCTATTACAGATATTTTGCAACGGTGCGGTAACAAACGGGCTCAAAAGAAACGAGATAAATGAGTTAGTGTGCCCATCGAATTGAAATAAACACGTTTATAAGGAACTCTTGCAAGAGCAAGGTTCGAGAAGGAGTTATTTTTATCTGTGTCACAGAATCTACATTATAGGAGTAAAATAAATGGTTTTATAAGTCTATGACACGACTGTCACTAAACATGTTTATAATTTTATTATACGTATCTACAACTTTTTATTTTAATATAATACTTCTTATTCCTCTATTTGTTGAACTGTTCTTTTATCTTTATTATACTAGATAATGTATACATATGTATATACACATATAACTACACCATTAAACGTAATGAGGGGATGAGGGTGTACCCACGGTATACTGTTCAATCTACTTTGTACATACACACAATCATACACAGTACACGTAGGTATGTTACTATGGCGATAACATACTCTGAAATCAATGAATAATGATACTTAGCATTTTATTATTCAGTATTTGTAAAGTTTCAAAACAGTAATCTATTGGTGTAAAATATTAAGATTAGTGTAACGACATGTGGGGATATAGTCCTGCGTTAGACATACAACTTGAAGTTAATAAAAGTGCAACTAATTGCCTAGGTGAATGTCTCGAGGTATTAATTGTAGGTGCTGGCGATGCAAGACATATCGTGAAGACGTTAGCATCATCTTATTTGTACCGCGATCGAATTATTACGTATCATGTAATCGAATCAACATTGGAACAAGTTGCTAGATCTATGCTTTTACTAAGTACATGTTTAGAAAGGGACCTAGGTATGTATAATAGATTTTTAAGCATATTCAGTGATTGTTCCTGTTCAAAATATATTTTTTTATAAAAATATGGAATACGCTTAAGGTTTGCAAGAAGCAACTCGATATTATTTGGAAATATATGGGAATACGCTGGTAAGACCAGCAACAGCCAAGTATTTGGTAAAACATTCTGATCGATTGATGGACATTCCAACAAATACGATTGATTGTACTTGGTTAAGTTTAGAAAACTTCAAGCGCAGAGATAAAGATCGATTAGAAGGAATTTTTAAGTGAGTTCAATTGAAGAAGTTGAAATTTTGTACTTTTCACATTTATCATTAAAACTTTTCATAAGATTTTGGGAGCGTGCAACACGCGAGAATATTCCCGTTGTGGAGTACTGGGATCAAAGAGTTAGAAAATCATTGAAAACAAGATACGATTATCGCGATGGTGTTTTTGACTGGGATTATCATATGGTTTTGAAGTCTAGAGATGTCTCGAATTTAACTATACAAGAATATAGGTATGTTTATTAATTGGTATATGTGTTTGCAAATATAACTTGTTCAATCCTAAGCTAGATTTTGGAGGAACAATGGAATTGCATTCACTTGGTTAGAGGGTGAACCTGCTAGAAGCAATCCAACATTAGTGAGTAATATTATTCAGCATGGACCTGGATTTATACACTATGCTTACTTGGGGGACATTACTAATGGTCCTTTTTTCACATGGGGTTCAGAAGAAGTAAAGATTAATCAAAAGTAAAAATTGTGTTGAACTTGCAGACCATGCATTAACGTATTTTCTATATGATAACATTGAGAAAATTATTTAGTAAATACAGAGCAACAGACATTGCTGAGAGGGAAATAATGCGTTCCATACATGAAATCAGAACAAAAGAACCATTGTGCGATGAACTTATAGCATCCCACAGAGATTCCTCCATCTTAAATGGTACTTTAATGATTGAAATGCCAAGTAATGCAATGGAACAAGAATCATGGAAAAGGGAAAGAAATAAATATAGGAAAGATGATATACCCTGGATAGATATAAAAAATCAAAAGGTATCATATAATAACATACTTAATAAATATGAGAAACAGCCTTTTTTGTACAACAATAAAGTATTTTTAGGTCATTTTTCATCCTGTGACTTCATTGGAGACACTCAAATGTAAAACAGAATATACCAGCAAATTCGACTTTATGTGGATTGCTCATAATATGACGAAACAGTTGCCTAATCTTATTCCATTAGTCAAGAAAGGAGCAATTGTGCTGGTTGAATTACGAAAATATTTAGTAGAGCTGCGAGAGGAAGACTTAGAAAACTTTGTAAAAGAATTGAGGGATATTGGACGAAAAAATGGACTGCGTGAAATTAGCGATATAAATGCTAAAAAGCATTATATTGCTAAATTTTACAAATGTTAAATGATCACGAATTAATAATAAACTTTCCGCCTTCTTCATTTCAAATTTACCCCTCATCATGTTATGTTCTATAGATTATAAACATGTACGTAACGATAATTTTTCACAATGAAGTTTTTACTATATGCTTTATAAAATTAAATGATATTACCATTGTATATAAAATGAATATATACAATGCGAAAGCATAACGTAATATTTCGCTTGACTGCCCAACTATATGAATTTATGTAATAAATCAATTCATCTGAAACGTGAATAAATCAAATATTATGAACGTTTTTATAATAAAATCTTTGCATACTAATAAATATTGTTGAAATGCCTGATAAAAAGAAAATCACCAAATACCATTGCACATAGTGAAAAATCAAACTTTAAGCATGGTTATGAGAATCACCCAAAATCGCGGGAAACGCGTCCTGTTTCTGCTTGATGGCCCGTGGGGTTGAGTTACAAGTTTGTAATACTAACAAATAAACTAGTTTATACGATATTATATTTATTGTCATAATGATATCCACAAAGTACGTGTCGATTTTTGTATGCTAAACGGCAGTGCGTGTCAATATTCTGTGAAATAAAGTAACCCTTGAAAATCGGCCATCGCAGCTATTTTCAGCGATAATGGAAATTGTTTTCGATGCGTAAGCCTTTTATACAGAAGTTCTAAAGTTTATATCCTGCTGGTCGTTGCAAAAGTGTACAAGGTTTCATAACATCGAATTATTGTAGGCCTCGATAAACGAATATGATAAATTAGTTGACAAGCTATGAGCTCTATCAACAGAGTGAACAGCAAGGTGGGCACAATTATTGAATCAAGAGAAGGTGATTTCGGAAACAATTTCGATACAACGAATAACGGCTTTGGCAACGATAAGAAGGAATTTACTGGCGATTTCAGTAGAACCTCACCTGGTAGAAGTCGTTATGGTAGAACGATAAAACCTAAGTCTCCTAAAAATGAGATTGCCAGCTCTCCAAAGGTATTTTGTGTCTCTTGAGATTAATTACAATTTTACCAGTTAAAGATCGATACTATTCCTAACACATTACGATATTAAACAAAGTGATCTTTAATGTTCGTAAATATAATTTTCTTTGTACTATATGCTTTATGTGTATATTTTTTTGTAATATTTTTTCTGTGTAGTTGTTTTGACGATTGATAGAAATATTTGATTATATAATATAACAATATTGATACGCGTATTTTACAGAATTCTAAAATGCCAAAGGCTAAAAAATATCAAAATTCATCCGACAGCAGTAACGAAAGCACGGATGAAAATATTATAACCAACGATGTGGATGATGCAAGCGATTCGTCTACCAGTTTAAGCACCATGGATGAAGCTTCTATGAAAATGGTTGCTTCATCTGTACAGTGCAATTGGATATTAGGCCAATTAGCATGGGCTAGAGTAGGTAATTTTCCTTTCTGGCCCTGTGTGATAACACTTGATCCAGTTTTAATGACCTACAATAAATTAAAAGGTACATTCTTTTGTGTAAGGTTAATGTTATTAATTTTGAGGTAACTAATTTTGATTTATTTCAAACAAACCATTTGTTTGACCAGCCACTGCCAGATCACAGATATTAATGGTGCATGTTCAATACTTTGGTGACAAAGGTCGTCACAGTTGGGTCTCTTCAAATTCTATGATACCATTTACAAATCTTGCTGACTTTAAGAAATTGTCAGAATCGATAACTGCAGAAATTAAGAAGAGAGATCCAAAATATGCTGCTGCATTTATTATAAAACCTGGAATTAAGTCCAAATGGGAAAGCGCGGTTGAAGAAGCTATGGAAGTTCAACCAATGAGCAACGACGAGAGAGCAAATACTTTTAAACCAAAAGAAAAGAATGCAAAAAGCAGATCACCAAAAACACTCGCATTAGATGAAAAAGATAAAACTAATAAGAGGAAGTATTCAACTGATTTGAGTGGATTGGATATTAAACGCATTAAACGGGAGAATGTAAATGTAGGAATGAAATTTTTAAGATACAATCTTATGTAAAGTTACTATTATAAATATTTAATTTAATATTGTTGCAGGCAGACGAATTAGATAAGCCGCAGTACAAAACAGATGGAACAAAATCTAAGACTTTAAAGTATGAAAATGGTAAGAGTAATTCGAAACTTAATTCGGATACTCCGCCGTTATCTCCGCAAAGTCAAAAGGGCTTGAGTGACGAAGTCTCTATTCCGCAAAAAGTTGACTGTAGGGCTGAAGAGTATAAAAAAGGTGTTTTTGAAGTATATTATGAACGGAACAGAGATATGTTGGAAGATGAATATCCTGATGCGACGGAAAATGATATTAGAAAATATTTGAGGAAAACTTGGGGTACTATGAATTCTGCGTTTCGTAAAAAATATCGAACATATATATCAACAGACACAAGTAGTAGTAGTGTAAAAGAAAGTTCGTCAGACCATGAAGAAGATTTATTGATAGATATAGATGCAAATGTAAAAGACAACAAAAAGTCAAGAATCAAAGTTGAAAAAGAAGAAACGAGTGTTTCGGAAACAAAGCGAAGTAGACCGTATAATCTCTTTAAAGGAATGAAGCAAGAGAAAGTTTGCCAAATTTGTGAAAAAACTGGAAAGTTAACTAGGTGTAAAGGTCCTTGCTATTCATACTTTCATCTATCTTGCGTAAAACCCGGAGAATCTAGTCCAGAACATTCCATCGACGAGAGTACAATGGACGATAAGATTCTCGATGATGTAAAGGAGATTAAACAGAACAATATCGACGACGATGAATATAATGGTACCGTCAACCTAAGAATTGTTATATATATTCATGTATTTCATTTTATTCGATTAAACAAATGTTTTTAATTTTAGGCAAAATCGAAGAACAAGAAGACGAGTTATTCAAATGTATTGATTGTTTGTCAGGCGTAGCACCCGCATGCTTTATATGCAACGAAAGAGAAGGTGATAGAATAAGATGTACTGTATTAGCCTGTGGAAAACATTATCATTCGTCTTGCTTGAAGTCATGGCCGCAAGTAATAGCAAAAACGTTATTTGCCTTGTAAACTGTATCGTGTAAAATGTACTATTTATTATAACAAATATTTTTGCCTTCTTCTTAGTCTCATTGGCAGGGAGGCCGTTTAACTTGTCCGTATCACGTGTGTCACACGTGCAGTTCGGATAATCCACAGGATAGTCATTCGAGAACACCAAGTGAGAAATTAGCACGATGCGTTCGCTGCCCGTCATCGTATCATACATCTACGTCTTGTTTGCCTGCTGGTTCAATGATTCTAACCGGCAGTCAAATAGTTTGTCCGAAACATTATCAGGCACCTCATCCTCCAGTAAACGCAGCGTGGTGCTTTTTATGTACTAAAGGTGGAAGTCTTATCTGCTGCGATACGTGCCCGACATCTTTTCATCTCGAGTGTCTAGGTAATTATTTCTAATTGAAATACAACACTAGCAGTGATAGCTGTGGTGGTAGTAGTTAGAGATGGAGAAAATTTCATTCGAATAATTATCTTAGGGATTGATGCGCCGGATGGTGCATTTATATGCGAAGACTGTGAAACTGGCAGACTGCCTTTGTACGGGGAAGTAGTATGGGTTAAACTTGGTAATTACCGTTGGTGGCCATCCCGTGTTTGTTATCCCCACGAAATACCTGAAAATATAGAAGCTATACCTCATAGTTTTGGCAAATTTTGTGTAATGTTTTTAGGATCAAATAATTATTATTGGGTTCACAGGTAAGCATTTAGATTTTCTTGTGATAATAAATATGTCTACTGATTACAAAATGTAACGATTGAGCGTTTATCTCCTTTTAGAGGTCGTGCTTTTCTTTATCAGGATGGTGATGCAAATATAAAACCACCAATTGGTAAAAAAAATAATAGAGACGGTACATTTCGTAAAGCGTTAGAGGAAGCTAATCAAATTCATCAACGTTTAAAAATTGAAAGAGCAGCTGCAAAAGATAATGGGCCACGAGGCCTAAAACCTCCGCCTTATGTTAAGCTGAAAGTAAAATTGTCTTCTTTTACATTTACCATTATTTACATCGATGTACATAAACTACTAATTAGCAATAATGTTGGATTTCTAGGTCAATAAACCGGTTGGTAACGTAAAACCGACAGAAGTTGAAAGTATCGTCGCGTGCGATTGCGATGCGGAATGGGAGAATCCGTGTGCACCTGGAACAGATTGTTTGAATCGAATATTATTAGTCGAATGTAGTCCTGGCATTTGTCCAGCTGGTCCAAAGTGTAATAATCAGGCATTTGTAAGAAGACAATATCCAGCTATGGAACCGTTTCATACTACTGGTCGTGGTTGGGGTCTTAGAAGTTTAGAATTAATTACCGCGGGACAATTTGTTATCGAGTATGTAGGGGAAGTTATAGACGAGGCTGAATACAAACGGAGGCTACATAGAAAAAAAGAATTAAAGAACGAGAATTTTTATTTTTTAACTATAGATAATAATAGAACGATCGATGCCGAACCAAAAGGCAATTTAAGTCGATTTATGAGTGAGTATTTCGTGTTTTTAAGAAATAAGAAAGGATGAACTTACACTTTAACCTACTGTTTTTGGAATGCAGATCATTCGTGTTCACCAAATTGCGAGACACAAAAATGGACGGTAAATGGGGATACGCGCATAGGTCTGTTTGCGTTATGCGATATAGACCCCGGTGAAGAATTAACTTTTAATTATAATTTAGCTTGCGATGGTGAAACTCGAAAGCCCTGTTTGTGTGGTGCACCAAATTGTAGTGGATTCATAGGTTTAAAGGTACAGAAATCACAAGTAACGGCACCTTTGATTCAACAAAAAAAGTTCGAGAAAATAGACAAAATAAAACGTCAGAGAAGGTGTGTACAATTACAAATATTTTTGTTTCACCGACTCTTTGCTTTAAGATAACATTGATTCTCCTTCGACATTAGATCAAGGAAACATGTGACTTGTTGGAGCTGTGGACAAGAAATCGACAAGTTAGAAGATTTTGTGGTTTGTGATCAAAAAACATGCAATAAAAAGTACCACAATGCTTGCGTAGAAATTGACGGTACAGATTCAAGGTTTAGTTGTCCTTGGCATCATTGCACGGAATGTGGCCGTAGAACATCCGCGCATTGTGCATTCTGTAGCGTTGCCTTTTGTCAAGGTAATTATTATATGCTGTGTTCATTATCACATTCAAAAAGCATTTGTATTTATCAATTAAAAATAAATGTGCTACCGTTGTTTGCAGTACATCTTGACGGAAACTTGTTCGAATATGGTGAAAAGGGTGGTTTTGTTTGCAAACTTCACGAAAGTATGGAAATGCAAAGATCATCTATCGAAGATGAAAAAGATTATTCGGATAATGATACCGAAACAGACAAAGAATATTCTTCCACAGACTCCGGTAGTCCTCTCGCAATCATGGAAAAAGCAGTACCACGTGAACCATCGCCAAGAGTTTCCATAGTAGAGGTGAGATAAATGAAACACTGTAATAAAAATACCATCATTCCAAAGTGTGAGGAAAGATAAGCAATCATACAGGCTCTCTGATGCTCGTCCATAGCTTTCAGAAGTACTTTATGTTTCGTATATAGATAGCTTCTTTTATTTTATTTACATTATTTACATATTAACGTAAAACAAGTTGGCGATGAATTGCGTTGGTGGTGGTAAGCATGAACAGAAAATTGTACACAAAATAATGAATTTGAAGATAGTATACCACTGAGCGAACTTTTGATCGACGAAGAATCCTTTTTATTCATCAGTGTTTTTATCTCAAATCATTCATGTATGTTACTTTTTACGTTGAGGTAATATTTACGAAGTTTTCAAATTTCGGTTATATGTAACCTTCCATACTTATATGAGGAATACATAAATTATGTTAGCTTCTACATGTCATCGACGACTTCGCTATGTTCTAAATTCATTTTTCGAATTCTAATTAACGCTATGCTGCGTTCATTTTGTATATTCACCGGGATACAAAAACATGCGATTATTGTTGAAATTCTATGCAAATGATACGATATCACTGTTGATGTAACATTCACGGTTCGTATGTTTCCAAAAAAGAAAGATTAATGATAATTAACTTTTTTTTTTTTTTGTAATTATTTTTCATTGTTCCCAGCATCCTCTCCCTGACATTGGCAGTAGTGAGAAGTAGTAACAAACAAACATGTTCTGTTTAAGTTTATACGTTCAAGTGAGTGTATACTTTTGCTATTATCTCTTTGGACCTCTTTTAGTTTGTAGTGTAATTGTAGTAACAGAAAAATTCCTAACTTCCAGTTAACAAACGATTTATTTATCGCTAATTAATTATTTACTTTTACGTATATATTGGTGAGTAAATTTATTGGTTCGACATAGACTTTCAAATCGTATCATTGTATATATATTTTTATTGTGGGCAGTCGCGTTACTTGTAGCACTTTAGTGCACGTAATTGGCTGTAAACCTGAGTTTCTTTTTGAATTTATGTAGAGTATTATGCTTCCTAATGAGTATTTACGAGAAGTAGCATTTGTCAAAAGTAATAGTAGGATTGCGTCGAGATTAATGAAATAGATCTCATAAATGGCAATATGCCTCGTAGGTTCATCCAAGCAGTGAAGAAAGCGAAGAATCTCAGAAAGAAGATGACGAGGATGTAATACAATCTACTGGTTTTATGCCATACGAATATAGTTTGCAAAGTATGAAGAGAAAAACATTACATCGATTGTCCCTAAGATTAAAAAAGGAGGAGGATCAAGTAGAAGAGTTAAATAATCTTACATCTAGTCAACTAGAGGCCATAATCGGTGGCAGTCTGTTCGAGTGAACAGTGTATCTTCTTATTTACAAAACACTATTCATTTCTCAATTAGACCAATCGAATAAAAAATTTTATTTATCATAATAATGTTCCAAACTTTCAAAAGTTCTTAGCAATTCGTTTCCAGAAATATTATTTATCGATTAACATGAATTTTGTTGTTTATCTAAAAGTAAAACATAACACATCCCCAAAGTAATCATACATTTCTTTTATATAAGTATTCATTAATTGTAATACGAGTATTTAATTTGAAAGTGTAACATACTAATTCAGTGCCTTGTCGAAATTAGTTTGAACTCTTATACAAGTGAACTTACAAGGGCCCAATATTTACTTTTAGAGATGTCTATGAGCCAGTTGAATACTTTCTTTGTCCTTCGCTTTCCGTTCGAAATTTGTATTTATTTTAAGAACAATTTGCATCGGCTAAGTAATAGGTTATCAGCCGCCGAAGCAACTATACGTTCACACTGCCTTGTAAATGTTTGAAAACTTGTATTACATGAATTATGTTATTTTTAACAATACTTAGGATTAGTATTAAGACGTCGAATAATCGAAATCATTACGCATTATCCATAACGATTCGTTTAGGTGTTTTTTGTTAAATTATAATGTGCGATAAAGGAATTTTTAGACTTTTGCTTAATTGTGACTATCGTAAAGTGAAGAATAATCAAATTTTGTTAATAGTTTTTTCCTTATATATATATATATATTTAAAATTGTACATACGAATTAGTGTGCTCGGTTAGTAAAAATGTGAGACAAAAATTGAATGCAAAAAAAAACAGTTTTGTGTAAGATAAGCGAAAATGACTATGTCACTTCCCAACTTTTAGTATATATTTAGTACGATTTTCTTAACCGTAAGTGTAAAAAAAACTTCAAAAAAAAAAAAAAAAAAAAAAAAATGGACACAAGTACATATAACATTCTCGTACGGTTAGTATTTGTAATTATTTATAAAAGTGTGCGTATGTTGCTTGCACATATCATGTGGAGTATATTATTACTGTTGTTCTAAAGAAATTTTCAATAGCTCGCGCAATTCATTATCGGATTTCAATACTACTTGCGGAACAATCGCAATTATGTAGTTAAAATTATTTAAAAACAAATGAGCACAAAGGTACAAGAAAAAGAATCGATAACGGAATAATAGCTTCCGCAAAATTGTGAATGGCAAAACGTAAAAAACGCAGATAAATAATAATATCGATTATTATTATTGTTGTTGTTGTTGTTATTATTATTATTTGGATAATACTTTATTTTTACATTTCGATAATATAAGTACAAATTCAATATTATCAAATTTCTTTTTTGACGCCTGATTATTTAATTTCAATGCTTTTATAAGTGAAACATTACGTTACTTATGCTGACTTTAAAACTTCCGCGTTGAGAAATCTTAATGCTTTATGAATAAGTTGGATTATATTCACAAATGACTAGTTTTATCGTAGTTACTTGCACGATATTGCGATATATGGAATTTTAATAATCAGTCACAGCGTTTAAAATGTTTCATTGCGTTTGCACTGAATTATTCGTTAATGCACCACTTGCGCGTTCAACATCTCAATTAAATTGCGTTTAATATATGTGTTAGACGCTTTGACTGTTGTAAATGATATTTACGCTTGCGATTCTTTACCATAATCTTGATAAAGTTTTGGACTCTCTTGGACCGTAGAAGTATTGTTACTTATTATGAGATTGAGATCAGAATTCGACGCGGTAGATGGGATTTCTTCTATAGGAGTCTGTTGTTCCTTTCGTAACACGGGCGCAACAAAATTTTGACCAGACGATAGATCTCTTTTCAACATTTGTGTCTGTAAATAAATTGACTTTATATTAAATTAAAATTAGCAGTCGAAGGAACAGGAATACTTTTGTGACTTCTGTACCTTAGACTTTGATCTGGGTAAGGTAGCTCCGGTGACAAGACCTAAAATGCTTGCGGCAAGACCAGTAAGTTGTACAGCAGCCAAGGGCGACAAGCCTCCTCGTACTAAACCTAAAGCCAATAACGCGGCTTGAGCCAAAATCGGTGCGACTCCGGTAGCATTAGCCGCTGCTCCTGCTAACTGACCACCCCCCACGCTTGGTCCGTACGCGAAACATAGATTGTGTCTGTCCACCTGTGTAACGTATTTGTTTATCAACATTTTATATATAATAATGTTGATGACCTTTAATGTGAATTGTTAAACATACCAGATGTTTTACTATAAGATATAGCAACCCAAAAGGTGTAATCAACGGACAAGCTAAGCTGTACACTGTTGTCATAGTAAAAACTAAGAGTAACCAGGCATAATGAGCACCTAGTGGAAATTCCCATAATACTGCTTTTCTAATATGTATTCTTTCCGCCTTACTACGAGCTATACATAATCTGAAGGTATACAACGCGAGTTCAGGAAATCTGACGAGCTCCAAGCCACTTCCAAGCAAGGCTGCGGTAATAACATAATTTACAAACAGAGCGCCCTATAAAAACGTAATTGTATTTATGCATAAATATATTTGATACGATTCTAGGACGTATTAATTACAGCATAAACATAATCTCACCTGATCAGGTAAAAATACACACTCCCAGTTTATTGTGTTATTCGCTGGATTCACAGTCCGCTCGAAAAATGCCTTGGCACTGGTTAGGCCTAAACTAGGTAATATGAGGACCATCAGTAGTAAAAGCAGCAATGTTTTTGTCATTACTGCCCGATTTAGACCGCTTCTAGTCCAATGTCTAACTAACGATTCACTTCTTGCTACTAATACAGGCATTAAAGCAGCCACGCTGACTAATATTACAGTTGGAAAAAAAGACGAAACTATTGGACTAAAATTCTTAATTTTATCTGTGATCGGTAGGTTGTTTAAAGCGGATAGTATTACCTGAAATCAGACATTACAAATATATTGAATGAAAATGCGATTAAAGTAGGTATCAACTTAATCAGCGACAGTTTATCAATAGTAAATGACTTACAAATGGTGTAGTAAGAAAAAACAATATGATGCCCAAAGCAAAATTGATCAAAACAGCATTTAAATACCAACACGGTCTTGGTATGCTTAGGTTTTCCCAAAAAATATCGGATGGTGTCGGTGCGTAATTAACAACCCATTTCATGCTTGGCGACGAATTTAGTTGTTTTCGCATTGTTCTAGCTTCTCCAGATGTACCTGTTTATTGATATCATTATTATTATTATTACTGTTATTTCATTGCAATAGCACTAACTGACCTAAAGTCACAAAAGCTACTCCTAGAGGCCTAGTTAGTGCGACCCTTTTTTCTTCTTCGACTAACGCAGTCAATCGCATTTCTTCGTTCATGTAAAATTCATAGGCATCGATTTTCTATAGAAGAAATAAGATATTTATCTGCGGATTTGGTACAATATTTCCAGATATAAATTACATACATATTTACAACAACAACCAATCACTTGGCCACACGGATATGGATACATTTTTAAAGGTTCTCTTTTTCTTGCATAGTTTTCGCAGTATAAACGAGCTTGCTCAACACAATCCTTTTTCATGTCTAATGCTGAAAGTCGTCTAATATCATAAGCTAACGTAACGTCTTCCACTGTTAAAGTAGGAAACGCTTCTCTGAAAGTAATAATGAAGTAAAATGAAGTTTTTGACGTTTTATGTTAATACGAATTACATACTTGAAATATTCGATAAGGGTCTGAACTTTACACTGATGCTCTGGTATTTCAGTAATTAATAATGTTCTAGCTGCCAATTCACCACCGTGTCTCGCGTTCTGCACCTACACAGTATAAAAGTATAACAGTGTAAAAATATTTATTTCCCCATGTGCCAATAACATACCATACCTTTTTTAAAAAATGTCTCATAACATAACTTCCAACTGGTAAATAAGATAAGATTAACATTGTATGCACCCAAATCCATGTAGACATTGGATCTAAGTTTGACAATGTTGTATGGCCAAATGTTGCATCATCTCCTTGCATACTTCCATGGAAATTAATTGGTAAAGCTATGCATAAGGATACAATAACCATTAAGCCTGTTAAGATGATTAAATGACGTTCAAATGATATATATAATAAACCATCAGGTCCAGCTCGTTTTAGTAATTCATCATCCCTAGAATTATAATGGCAAAGTATTATTTTGTGGTTTATTATAAATATTACTTACTGTACTTTATTATACTTACGTAACTTTGAATGCAGTGACAACCCATGATAGAAAGCCTCCATCAACTTGTGAAAGTTCCGAATTAACAGAAGATTCTATGCATATTGCATCTGTATCTCTAGCCTCGTTGTCCGCGTAAAATATTTCCATCCATCTATCATCTGTTTTGTTCAATAATGCAAGACGTCCATAATTCCAGGCTTTCTTGCGTAATAAACCAAACAATATAAAAAGGAACAAAAATCCAATAAAATTTAGCAATAAATTTTCAGGAATGCCTGCATAAACATCTGTTATTATCGTTGTATTATATTTTAGTGTCGAAATACATGAATTTACGGAGGGATTTTCACGTAGATTTAAACTGAAATACAAAAGATAACAACATTATAATAAGTTTATTATAAATATTTAGTTACAAAAAGAACTTTACATTCAATGTAAAATACTCTGAATATATTGCCCAGGAATCAATTACTATCGAGAATTTATATACATGTTTAGTAAATGTATACATTGATAAGAGGTTAAGAAAAAAAGTCGTACAAGTGTATTATTAATTCAATATAAAAAATTACTAAGTTGCATTCCAATAGATACAAAATTAATTTCAAAAAATCTAAGAATTTTTATCATAGGATTTATCAACTATACACACGTATAATATATATGTGTATAGTAAAAAGCTTTATTCGATAAATAATATCAAAGGTTATAACAAAAGATTTAAATAACATTATTATTCGATATACTGTACGAGGCAATTAATCGATCTTGTGAATAATTGAAAATATGTCATGCAATAATTAAAGAACAGTTACAAAATACGTTTGAAGAAAGATCGGAAGTTTGCCACTTACTGAAAATAATTGTCGCCCATACTTGTTAAGATATTTATATTAGTTTACGGTTAGATAAACACAAAGACGCATGTTAACCAAAGTGTGTCAATTTGACACATCATATGGGAATGTCGTTGGTTACAAACAGATGTAAGAATACGCGCTGACGTAGCTAACTAAACCTAGCTTAACCTGAGTGCTGTGATTACAAGAGATAGCACGAATTCACTCGATCTTAATATTGATAATGGTCTTTGTTTATGCTGGTCTTTTATCATCATGACTAACAACCAATTAAATTTCCTTATAAAAGTAAAATTATTTATTTATTTAGTATCATTACACTCGATAATAGAGATAGATACATTTAAAAAAACATATGTAAAGGAATATTTATAATTAATCTAATATCGAATAAATCGATAAATAAATAAATAAATATATATATATTAATATAGACATATTTGACATGATATATGACACTTAACTAAATAATAAGTGAATCAATTAAATATACAATTTTTGTTATATGCATTATGCATAATTGTGTTGACATTTAAATACAATGGAATTTTATCTATTAAATTAATTAAACAATTCGATATTTGTAAAAATTATTTTATACATGATTCGTGTTTAGTTTTAATCGAAAATATCGCTTTTGAATTAAATAGTACTATTTTACTACTTGTATTTACTCTTCTGAGTGTTAGAATTTATCTGATGTCGTTGGTATTGATTGTATGGTTGTAATTCTCCCGTTGTAATACAATCCAAAACCCAGCTTTCTTTTAAACCTTTTGTGCCAATTACAATTTTCGCGGTTTCTGGATCATCGGTAAGACGACCACCTGCAGTTTTTATTAGATCTTTCATCGCATCATACGGAGGTTTTGTATCTTTCTCGACGTATATACACCCACAAGCAGTAAACAATTCAGGGACATAGGATGTTCCAAATAATTGCCTGTCTTTGCGGTTTTCCTGGAAATTACAAATCATAAATCAATAATGCTTTTTATCATACATTTTGCGCATAATGTACACAGCATGTTTCTTTTCAATGTAAAATTACCAGCACTGCTTTTGAAAAATGTGCCATTTCGTATTCTTCTGGATCTAACCACGCATTGTTTTCTAAAGACTTCAAAATCCATTCAAATTTAACGAGCCAACAGCCTCGTATAATTCCGTGCAGTAGATTTATCGTACGCACACCCGTGGTTACTACGTGTGTTGTTCGTTTCGTAACGCGTGCTTCAAGTTTTGCATGACCAAGAGATTTAACAACACTTTTAATTATATTTTTATCACTGGAACAAGATACAGAATATAAAAAAAATATGTAAGTTGAGAAAAAGTAGAGGATAAGGACATCTCTTACTCATTGGATAGACCTGTTGCAACA